CCGAGTAAGCATTTGGTAAACGACCCCTTAGTATCATCCATTCCAAAGTTCACGAGCTTGTAACTGCTGTCAATATTTATAACTTTAATATGTCTATGGTAACTTATGATTCTTTTTCTATGTTTGAGGATGCTGCTGCTATTATTAAGCTGTGAGCACACACAACTAATATCTTCCTAACCAATGAAAATTGGAATAAGGAATTACAGATTTTCCTCCTGAATAGCTATGGTTATAAACACAAGTGAAACATCAAAATTACCTACTGGATATCTATCCCATACAAAATAGTTCATCCTATTTAACTTTAAGAACCTTGATATATAAATCACCGATAATTTTAGTTAATTGGTACTTCCTTTCTGCATAGGAGTATGAAAAAATAAGATTTTTGGGTTGGTGTGTACTAGTTCTAAAGTAATAAGCTAGCGTTTTATGATGTAGGATTAGGGCTGTAAACGAACCGAACGTTCAACGAACCGTTCGACGGGAAGTTCGTTTATTTAATAAATGAACAGACATGAACACTTTTTTTTTGTTCGTTTAGTTAAACGAACGAACATGAACAAGAGTCTCGTTCGTTCATTTATGTTCGTTTACGTTCATTTATATTCGTTCGTCTATGTTCGTTTATATACTAAATTTAATATATAATCTTGTGTTTATTTACTTTGAATTCAAATAATATTTATTTATGTTCGTTTAACCCGTTCGTTTACGTTCGTTTAGCATGTTAACGAACGAACATAAATGAACACGAACACACCTGATTTCTAAACGAACGAACACGAACACAAAGATTTTCGTTCGTTTATCGTTCGGTTTCGTTCGGTTAAGTTAAACGAACGAATATTAACAAGCCTCCGTTCGTGTTCATTCGGTTCGATTACAACCCTATGTAGGATAAGAAAAATCCCAATCTATACACATCCAGTAATCTGTAGTATTTAGCCAACCGTAGGATCTTCATCTAATAGACAGCTATTTGGAATTTCATTTTTCCTTGTTCTCTAAATCACAAATGGCATTACATTGCAGGCACTTTTGACCTATCTGAGCAACAGAAGGTTCTCAATTTTGAGTAGTATGCCCTCATCAAGATTAATATTTTATGAACAGATGCAAATAT